CCCCAAAACCCCCAAAACCCCAAAACCCCAAAACCCCATTGCTCATAAAGGCGCTTTAATCAGTTAAAAGAGAAAATATGAATTAAATAAATTTAAAATGGCAGAGGCATATTAACAATAAATTACTTAACTTTTGAAAAAGCATACTAAGTTTAAGCCAATTTACTCACTTGCTCCAAACCATTTCAAGACCTAGCAATAAAATTTGTAAAAATCCTAGAGAGCTAGTACTTTGAGTCCTAATGGAAAAAATTTGAAAGATTCAAGTGTGAATTAGGCTACCGTGAATAGCTAATTGCGCAGAAGTTAGAATGCTGGGAACAGTATAACAAGATAAAATAGTATCAAATCAAGTATAAATCAATAAACTTTGAATGGTGAAGATAGTCATAGAAAGAAAAGGGTCCAAAGTGTTGAAAATCTGAGAAAGACAACCTAAAATTGTGAATAATAGTATTTAAATAAGCAGAAGAGTAAGGCAAAATTTATTCCTAAACCTATTTTGCCACAAACTTTTTAGCCAATTCTAAATCAAAAAGTAGCAAATTAAACATCGTCCAATAAAAAATCCTAATCGAGAAGCAGGCAAAAGATTGGTTCACCTTTGCTAAAGAATAAAAATTTTAACAAAAAAGTTACTCTCAAAGATTTCATTACAATTGATAAAACTTAAATTGCGAGCTTGATGGGTCCATAAACAACTTGACAAACATAAAGTTAAAACCTAAATCAATATTTCAATAACTCGCATAAAAACTCAACCTCTATTGACAAATAAAAGTCCTAACTGTATTTAAACAAATCAAATATGAATTTGAATTATTAAACCCTAAGTCCTAGAAGTAGTATTGGTGTGATTAATCAAACTACTCTAACTTCAACAAATAATAATATTAGTAAATAAAGCAATAATGATAAAAGGTCTAGTAATATGTTTGGTCATGAAAAATCTAAGATGACCTCCAATTCTAAGGATAAGGTTACAAAGAAATAAGTTTTACAGAACTTTTTAGAGAGAAATTACTCATCTCACTTGTTGAAACTCCAAAATAAGAATTTACAAGACTCATATAACATTCAATCTCCTTCAAGACTAAAAGATGATCTCGATAATTTTAATGAGGAATGTGTTTTCAGACCAAGTATAAATTAAAATTCCAATAAAATAGCTGAATAAGTCAGAGTATCATAAGATCGAAGCAAGGAAAAGATATTCGATACGCTTTATTATGAAAGTATTGAATTATAATTCAAGAAATAGTAGTAAAAGGCTATACAAGATAAGTTGAAGGATGATTTATTAAAGCAAGAGATGACTTTCAAGCCTAAGATACATGAATACAAGAATCCACACTTAGATAACTAGCCAATAAAGTAAATGTAAAATGTTTAGTAAAACTACATTGATCAATACATAAAAAAGAAAAAGAATGAGATTCCAAGAGTATTTGATTTACAGAGATAGGATCTCCTAAATATCGAAAACTCAATCAGCAGACCCAAAACTTAGCATTAAATTTCTCATTCTTCATCAAGTTCTCCTATTCAAACTAATGGCTTTGTATCTCAAAATTAAACTCTTAATAATATCAGCATTAGTAGAAACTCAATCAGTTAATTTGACAAGGAGAATCATTAGTAGTAAAAAGCTTGCAGCACATTGGAACTCGTTAGATCAATTACTAGTCAGTTGACATTTGATAATCCTAATATACCAAGATCAGAGACCTCTGTATCCTCTATTTCTTCTAAGTATTCTCAAGCCTAAAAAATAATTCAGCAAAATAGAGTAGCCCCAATTTCAAGTAGTTCTAGGGAATTTAAAAAATATAGTAACTCTTCTGTTGGTAGTAACCCTAATACAAACCTAAATAGCTATGAGTCTGATTTATTAGAGTTTAGTCCTGACTAGTTCATGAGTGAAACCTAAAATGTGATATTTGAAGTGCTTCCCTATAAAACAAATGACCATTATGTGGTTGTTACATCGAAATCTTGCGATATCAATAGTACAAATAATAAGCAACCCTCCTCATAAGCTATTCAAATCCTTGATAGCAACAGTGATGGGTATTAGTCACCTGCTTATAATGATTCAGATGAGAAAACCCCTCGAGTGCATGAGATACTTAATACTGATTCAAACCATAAATCCTTCTAAAACAGTTCACCATCTGATTAGCCCCTTAGAGACCCTACGCAACTACTCTCCTCTAATTCATTTAATCTTAGTCCGAAGCAACAAACTCCAAGTTATACCCACACTCCTCAAAGTTAAAACTAAAACAATAATTACTAAAGAACTTCTTATCAATTTAATTCTAAAAGTTTGTCAATGATTATCGAAGATAAGGCTGAAATCACCCAGAGTAGTATGTTTGATAGTAATGAAACTTAAAGTTAGATCGTAGATTAAAGCAAATACAGCATCAGCCATACTAGCAGCAGTCAAAAACTTAACAAGTTTTGTAAAGATGCTTCTAGTATAATGGGTAGTGAAAATAATAACAAAGAAGATCACCTTAATTCATCAGTTATAAATCTCTATTATAATTTAAATTGAAAAAATAATTTTAAAATATCATACTTTAATGTTATAAAAATATTACTTTAAGGGGTTTTGGGGTTTTGGGGTTTTGGGGTTTTGGGG